ATAAGAAGACGTAATTTGTGGGAGCCTTAGTAAGGTGCCTCTTCAGTAGAATCCAGCGAATATGCACTGAAGACACACCTGATGAAGAGGAAAGAAAGTTGACACATAATTTGGTTGATAACAATTATCCAGACAAGTTCATCAGGAGATATAAAGTAGTCAGAACACCAAGACCCACTCTTCAACTCGCCTCTAAGAAAGATGTGTACATCAAGCTGACCTATGTGGGACATCATAGCAGCTTGATAACTAGACAAAGATTGAACGTTGCTGTTAAAAAGACTTTTTACGCAGCTAAAATCATAATAATTGGGATTGCGAAGTCATCATATCCATCTAAGCCCTTAGAACATGCAAAATATGATGTCACATCCAACTGTATTTACCAATTTGAATGTACGTGTGGACACACATACATAAGGAGGACTCATTGATCACTGCAAGTAAGGGATGGCTTTAGAGCATATTCCTAAATTGCTCCAGAAGAAAATACAATTTCCAGAACCCAGTAATAGTGACAACAAGAGAACTAGCTCCTCTATTGCGAAACATATTATAGAGACAGGACATAAAATTGACGTTCACAGATCTTTTAAACCTATCTATAAAACGTATTTGTGGGAGAGAGCATCCTAAGTTTTTGGATGCTCTAGCGACTAGAAAGTTTAAACCAACTTTGTGTGTGCAAAAAACACTTGTCATCACACGAATCCTTCTTTGGTAAACTTTATTTTCATAGCAGCCAAAGAAGATGTACTATTACCTTTCTTAATTGGTTTAGTGACCTTCATTGTTATTTTAACCTTCAATTTGACCTTTTAACTCGACCTAAGTCTATTTCCTCACCTCTTCACTCTTTATTAATTTCACAAATATTCCTATAACAAGTTCGTGTGTGATCAGATGTTTCGAAATGTGTTGCTCAAATACATACAATTCATGATTCGGACAAATTACGTCTTCTTACTGCTTCATCTACAAACCTTCTGCTCATTTGGTCTTCAGGTATTTTTCAAGCGATTTCAGTTTTCCATGAAATCTGAAGTGAATTTCTGAAACTAAACTGTAAACGTAAATTTCAACTAACCATAATACAGCTAAACTTCCAGTTCTGTTCTACCTACGAGTTATACTTTTCACCAATAACTTACATAAACACTCACATTGTTTGTATTTCTCGAATTCAGCACTATTTTTATTGTTTGTTTTACAATAAATGCTTCCAACATCTATTTGACTAATATTTTGACTTTGTAAAGTCAAATGTTATTCCAACTCAAACACTCAGGAGAGATTTTCCATGTGTCATACTAATAGCCTCACTTATTGTATGTGAGTGCTCAAGGCCAATGCCATGCATCCCTAAAAACGGTATGCTTTAGTCCAGAGTTACATTTTAGTCAGAAATATTAAAACTGTAGGTTCGATATTGATAAAATAATCTACTCAGGTTTAAATAATAGAATTAAACGTCAAAATAGTGGTGACAGTTGTTGAGGATGCTGCTGCTGTGTTCTCCATATAATCTGATTACGAATTCACTTTAGTTAGAGAGCCATTAGAAATCAGGGAGTACTTGACAGCTGTTTCGTCCTTCTTTGGGACCCTTCGATAATACGGGCCTATGACGTAACCTGCTGGAGATATTCTTTATGACCCACCAAGTTTCTGAGTGACGAAGATTTCCAGATTGTCACTTAGCATCAACAACAAAATTCGGATTTTCAATACAAACGTCAAGTCAGTTCTTCAATGTGGATCATAAAATTGGTGGTTCACAAAGAATATTTCCAACAGCCTGTTGCAGACCTTGATCAAAAACAACTGTCTTCGCTCTATACTGAATATTAGATGGGCGGAAAGAATCACCAACAAGACACTATGGGAACAAACAAAACAAGAACCAATTGCCCAATAAATATTTTCAGGAGAAAGTGGTGATGGATTGGACACTTGCTGAGGAGGCCGCTGGGTGACATCACGCGTCAGGCCAGTACTCGAGTGGAACGCGAAAGGAAAGCGGCGAGTGGGACGTCCAAGGGTGACATGGAGGAGATCGTGTGAAGAGGAGTTGAAACAGTATGGACTAACAATGATGCAGGTGAAAAGTACAGCAGAAGACAGAAGCAAGTGGAGACGTGCAGTTGAAGCCCTATGTTCCACTAGGAACCCAAGGGAACAATAATAATAGTGACGTAACCAGGTTACAAGGCGAGCTGGTTGACCATTTAGCCATTAGGGTGGGATCCAATCGTCAGTTAGTTCTAGCTTCTGCCACCTTACGATGTGTAACGCAACCATTAGCATCTGTCCTCACTCCTGACCTAGTAGGCCGGGTCGGTCACGACCTCTCACTAGGACATCAGGCAACCTTCTCCTGTAGTCAGTCACCAGGTCGACACTTGCTTGTATTATATCATTCTACGACTACAGCTTCAATGCCAACTTCATTTTGTTCAGTATATTACAATGAAAGCTGCACAATTAAACTATCCATCTCAGAGTAAATCAGTATCTTAAGCATCATATATAGATTGCTAATCCGCGGTCTAAGCTAAAAGAAATATAATCCTCGCAAACTAATGCTGGAAAAATAAGTCTGATGCTCGCTGGTGATTGGCTACAGGGCGAAATTGCCTGGAGTTCTAGTGAGAAGTCGTGACCAGTGGTGTCCAGCCAGTTGGGAGTGAGGATGAGTTCCTCACCGATGACATTGGTCGGTGGTCGTGTTAAAGTCACGAATTGGTAGAAGTTAGAATTTATGGGCTCGCCATCAAACCGGGTCCCAATGGCTGAATGAATCGTATACGAGCTTGCCTTGTAACCGGAAGGTACTGGGTTCGAACCCAAGTGTGTGCGTCCCACCTAGTTTTCAATGGTTATCTAACTGATATCAATCCGTGATCAACTCGCAAAAGTCAAATAAACTGCCAAAAACATCGAAGCACCGCAATTCGCGTGAAACAACCAATGCTTTGTGTGCAAAAGAAGCCAGGCAGGACGCTACAACTGCCCTGTACAGCATTCAGTAGAGACTGTAAATTCATGAATTCTGTAATATTATCTTTTCCAATTTCTCTGATCTGGAAGATGTGCAAGTGAAAATCAATAAGTTGGCAGAAGAAGCATCAAGGATAGGCCTTCAGGTGAACATAGAGAAAACAGAGGTGATGAAGATTCCTGGGCAACACCACCAACAGCAACAACAACAACAGACAACAATCAGCATAAATGGAAGGAGCCTGAAAGAAACAACCTCTTTTACCTACCTTGGAAGCATCGTTTCAACTACAGGCGGAACTGACGACGATATCAAAGCGCGAGAATCGGGAAAGCAAGGCATGCTTTCACTACTCACAAGTCTGTGTGGAGGTCAACACCCAGCACTCAGCATCAAAAATAAGATCCGAATTTTCAACTCCAATGTGAAGTCAGTGTTACTCACTATACGGATCGGAGAGTTGGTGCGTCATAAAGAGCACCTCGAACAAACTACAGACCTTCAGTAACAGTTGTCTTCGCTCAATACTACTCAAGATCAGATGGCCAGAGTTGATAAGCAACAAAGATCTCTAGGAGCGATGCAACCTAGCAGGAACCAATTGTGAAACAAATAGGTAGGAAGAAATGGAGATGGATTGGCTGGCCATACTCTGAGGAAACCATCAAGTGACATCACACGATAGGCCACTGCTCGAGTGTAATCCGAAAGGAAAGCGGCGAGTTGGTCGTCCAAGGGTGACTTGGAGGAGGTCATGTGAAGAGGAGATGAAAGCATGTGGGCAGACCTGGAGACAGGTGAAAAATTCGGTAGAGAATCGAACGCAATAGAGACGTGCAGCTGAAGCCCTATGTTCCTCTAGTAATTAAAGTAAATAATAATAATTTCTCTGATATTCATTCTGTGTATTGTTATGTTGATGCTATTGAACTGTAATCCATTGATATTATTGATTCGACGTTATTTAAACATTAATGTTGTTCATGACACTAATTCATTCATTTACTATAATGTATATATAACTGTAGAGCCTGATGATGAAGTTATCGAAAACAGTATTCTTTGTTCAGTATCTATTCTTTTGAAAACACTTATGTGCAATTCTATATTTTATTTGATTTTGATTTTGATTTACAGCTTGATTACACACCGTATTTTCAGTACAAGTGTGGAATTTTCAGCATGGATATCGGTAGCCCAAATTCAGGCCAACCATAGATATCGGGTGTGCGCTGGCAGGGGATCGAACCCCGGACCATGTGCATGGTCGGCGAGAGTCCCAACCACTGCTACTGATACATTGATTTAAGTAGTTGGGGGCAATTCACATCAACCTGTAGCGTCTGTCAGCCAGATAGTAGCAGTCTAAACACCTGAAGTCCATTTTGTCCTTTGGTTTGTAGCTTATCTTGAGTATAATCAGTTTAATGAAGTTCAAGAGACCCAGTCTCTTCAAGCCACTCGAATTCTGGTTGGCTAACCGGGCAAACTGTTATGACATAAAATCAAATTCACGATTTGTAATTTACACAGCTCTATTCAAGTGAATTTTAGATTTTTCCAGCGAGTGATTCGACTGAAGTACTTGGTCTCAGGTTGACATGTCGGCTTCTTGTTCAGATGCTTCGACGATGACTGGTCATGTTACTTGGAGTCGATTGGTGGGTGGTGACTAGCAGTGGAACTCAGGATGCGCATTTCGTCCTATTTGGAACTCGTCATCTGGATGAACCTACATTCCTCAGTGAGTGATATTCCCACCGAGGCTCGAACCCAATGTCCATACTTTCAAACGCCAAAGCGTTATCCACTAGACCACTTGGGCTACGAGAACCACCTCTTGTGGAACGGGTCTAGTTGATAATTTACCATAGTTTCTTACAGAAACCGCAGTTATCCGGATCACTATATATTTATGAATGTAGTGGGTGATACCATTAATAGTGTTTAACAGAGCTACCATAAATGGTTATATTTCGTTGAAAAAACAGGAACTCACCTCACATAAAAGGATTATAATTGAAATGTAGGCGGCTGTATCAATATAACGAAACACATAAGTGTGTATCGGTTTCAGGCAACCAGTATTCACATTACTGTTCTCATCGTTGAAATTTTTAGGGCATGTATCTGACAGAATTTCCAGATCCGCTTTAAATTTACAACATGGAATTGGATATTCCACTTTATCTGAAGGAAAAGACCACGGAAGTTTATGTAGAGATGTTGAGGTACCCTCAGTTATTCTTTATCATAATGATAATAATAATATTGCAGAGTAATGTATTCAAAAACAGGTTAAATATCGACACTGGAAGGAAGTGAATCAAAGGGGACTTTAATTTCAGACTAGATAATTTCCTAAATTTCGAGCGATGTAAGCTACCATACTTCTCAAGCATTGGTTTTGTAAGGATTTTGTTTGATTGGATGGAGGATTTCATCATGAGCTGACACATAGGTTAGAAAACCACTGGAAAACCTTGGAGTACTGGACAGCTGTTTCGTCCTGTGAAGAGTCTCAAACTAGGACGAAACAGCTATCCAGTACTCCAAGGTTTTCCAGTGGTTTCTTCAAGACAGCAGACGACTCAGTATGTGTAACACCTGTTCCGAGAATCTCAGTTTTAGCAGCTCCGTAAACTTATGGATTAACCACCTCCTCATTAACTCACACAATCCGCCTAATGTCATTATTACAGGTTGTATTATACCAGTTTACACGACACACAGAACGGAGAAAGCCGTGGTTAGTGACCCAGTGGCTATGTCTCGCATCGGTGAGGAATGACTCAAGGGACTGATGCTCACTACACATGTTATTTCATCAACTGGCGAATATAAAATGTACGCCGCAGTCGGGAACAGAATCTTCAGGTTCTATTCATAACAGCCTGTCGACTACTTTTTACTTGATGCATGTCATTCATGAAGATGACCATCATCCAACAACTTAATAAATATAGAAGTGTGGCAAGCAGACTTCTACCAAAACTGACCCCCTAGTTATCAATGGATGATATAGATTTTACACTCGGGATAAAATTATAGCCAGTTGAGAACATCGCTATTAGCCTGCTAACCTCATATTCAAGATTATGAATAATTAACCAACTGCAAGATTACCACCAATTGTTGTCTATTCCTTATTAGTATGCTATCTAAACTAGATATTTCATCTTTTCTAGAAGATTTCGCAGAATTTGCACCCCGGACACCATAGAAGATGAACTGGACAATCTCAAGAGAATCCTCATCGAGAATTGTTATCCAGAAAGATTTATTGCAAAATCTATGAATCCTACATCACAAAAGCCGCCCATGCTTAGCGTGCCGAAAAAACTACTATATATGAACCTTCAATTCAATGGATATATATCTGCGGAAACACTGAAAAATCGACTGTCGCGCTCACTTAAGAAGACCTTCTTCGCAGATGAACTACGACTAACCTTCTCCACAAAACCTATGATTCATGTGAACGTGAAGGATAAGCTACCGCTGCTGGCCTCATCAATGTGCATTTATCAATTCACCTGCTCGTGTGGAGCCAGGTATGTTGGCCGTACCCAGCGCTCGCTTTCCAAACGTATCACCGAACACTTACCAATATGGTTTAACAAAGGAGAAAATCGATGCCCCCGCAGTTCCATCTTAGAACATCTGATAGAATCCGGACACCAAGCTACACCGCAAACAAACTTCAAAGTCGTCTACAGAGTAAGAAGTAGTCTTCCTAAAGGTGTACGAATTAGGCTTCTTCAAACTGCAGAAGCAATGGCAACTCACATGCTAAGTCCTGAACTCTGCATACAGAAAAAGTTCATTCAACCACTACACTTGCAATGGACGTAATCTATCTTATTAGCCGACAAGTAAATTCTACCTAATCTTTTTTTCTGTCTCTTCATTAGTATTATTTTGTCTTCTCAATTGTAATATTTTACAGTTTCAGCTTTCTTGTTCTCTACCCACACCCGATTTAATCTCTACACCTCACTACCACTGTTACTGACTTGAACAACGCTCAATTTCTAGTCATTTATGTTATGTCATCCAACTTATTTACTCAATTCCACTTCTACTTAGTCTCAACCTGTAATTACCTCTGTTGCTACCCTGATCTAAGTTGAAACATTTTAGTCAATTATATTGCGTCATCTAACTTATTAACTCAGTCCTACTTTAGTTGCTGTCTGATTAACTTTGTCTCTATACTACATCATTCTTGTATTAACTAATCAATTATCTAAACTTGACAAACCTCATGTACACACACATACAAATAATTATATATTTAAATGCGATTGTACAGCTATGTGAATGAATTCACCGTCGAAAAGAGTCTCTTCGCTGAACGTCTTCTCTTTTTCATATGACTCAATGGGGATTTTCAAGCTACTTTTCTAGAAGTGTTTCTCACATGAGCTGTTCAATCGATTACTCGAAGAAAAGAATAACCGCAGCTGTAAACGCTGAGTTTTGACGGTATTAAATTAAAAACTGATATACATTTTGTGGACAACAAGTGTGTCACAGGTTCACTGGCAGAAGGCTAGCCATTTAGATTTTCTGGTGTTTCGATTGGAACATTAGGCTGCACATTATGAATTTTGAAGCTTCATTGGTGACAGTGCTGTTTTTACAAAATGAGGTTGCCAGCCTCACACCATCTATCGGCTAGTAAACTAATTGGGATTTAGAAGTACGTCAACAGGTAGTCGAATCCGGACTGTTAGCGTGATAGACTAACATTCAACACTGTACCCTATAACTAGTATTAATTAGACTATAGTATGAGTAATATTAAAGTTAAACATGCCTGTTGATTAGAAGCAGTCGATAAAATGCCTTGGATATGTGTTTCGTCCTTCTTGGTCCTCGTCAATATGACATATCCACAACCTTGAAGGAACTCATTTCCACTGTGAGATTCGAATATACACCACCCAGTCGTGCAAACTGTCATATTCTCTAAATATTCCCATTTTTAATATTAGAACAAGACATTATAAGCGAACAATATTGTTGTTTTCAATTAGATCTTCTTCAGGCTTTACTCTAATTTACATAGATTTATATATAAAATATTTTAACCAATGACGGTGATTTTGTGGATCAAATAATGATAATAATAATAACAGTAATAATGTGGTAAATGTTTTGAACGTAGTTAGTAACGATGATTATAATGATAACAAAATATTGATAATAAGGCCTATGCAGGTAGTGATAAGAATAACAAGTTAGTAATATGTGTATATGTAGACAATTCAATAAATAAATTTGGTCACATCTTAAAAGTTACGTAATACTAAGGGTGAAGTGGACAGATAGAAAATCAGAGTTTAAATAAATAACATAAAAATACGAAGGAGATGGAAAGTAAGAAAGGGTGGGAGGGTTTTGAATAGAATTCACCTAGGCCAAGGGAGAGACTGTCATTGGTTAAAATTTTTATATATAAATCTATTACAAAAATTAGTCCCTTTGATAAATTTGAATAAGGCATTACGAACAAAAATTAACAAAATGTTTGAAAGACACGAATCATATTTTGGAATTTCCTCAAGATATCCACAAGCATATAATTAATTTATCTAACTGTACTCTATCCCAACTACAGTTGGAAGTTCAGTCACAGTATGAAAACCTTTATGATCAAATCTCCGATTTAACTCCTTCTAGTAAAGATAATCTTGACTGGTTTAAAGTTAAACTGGTAGACATCTCTCACCAATTTCTAAATGCTAGAATACACCAGAAAAATGGTTTATCAAAAGAACACCACGCCGCACTTAAGGAATTAATTGAAAAAGATAATCTGATTATCCTTAAACGTGATAAGGGAGAAGGCGTTGTCATTAGGGACAAATCGGATTATCAAAATAAAATGAATGATATCCTTAAAGATCAGTCCAAATTTCTAGTGGACAATGCTACTGATAATGTGCTGCTTGTGGAAAAGCAGATCAGAGTAAAGCCTGAAGAAGATCTAATTGAAAACAATGTTGTTCGCTTATATGTCTTGTTCTAACTGTGATAATAACACTGAGTTATACAGGCTGACGAGTGACCTCCCATAAGACTCCAAGAAATTTACTAATCGTTTAATACGCAATAGCTAATATCATATGTGTACATCTTAGTGTTGATGTCACGTACAGGGTTTTCTGCCTACTGCCCTCAACTACCTTACATCAATTTAGAGGGTGCAACTTGGTGGTAAACCACCTAGCTTGGTGACCTCATATTGCAAACCTGACTGACAGTCTTTCCCAACACCAAGGAATAGAAGCATAGCAGTGCTTTACTCTTTGCTGACCAGTCAGTGTTAAAATTAAAAGGACCCTTTTTCTTTGAGACAAAACAGTTTTCAAATACTTACATGTTTTATGATTCCAAGTGTCTTTTTTGACAAACACCTTCGACAACTTAAAATCAGTTCCATTGTTAACACCACAACAATTAAACTGGAAAATAAAAATTAAACATCGATAGAATGAGAATATGTTTTTATCATAATACTAATCTGAAATTATTTTGATGAACTCAGTGCCCAAGTTTCGTACTTATATTTTGATGAACGTTTTGAGAAAAGCAATGAATAGTATCATGGAAGATGATCCTTAACACTTTTGGTTCTGTGCTTGTTACTGTAATAAAACCTCAGCACATTTTTGTTGTGTAACCATGGTAGTGGAGTAAACTGTAAATGATAATACTAGTAGTGAGGTGAGAGCTGTCTTCAAGCCACAATTGTAGACACCAATTAACATCAGTGTTTACGTCGCAAATCTCCGTCATGAGAATAGAACAAGAACAAAGACTAAAACTTAAGGAACTCAACAACCAGTCACAGTAGACTAAGCGTGGGCGAATAAGGTCAGCAAATATATGGTCTGACCTTCAAAGAAATAGCCATGAAGAGATGGCAGATTAACTTTCTACGAGAGAACAACCAATCAGAAGACTCTGTTTCATTACTAACAATAACCTATAAGAATGTACATAAAAATATATAAATATCTGTTGATCTTCTCCCTAAATGATCTGTTGCCTTGCCCTTGCCTTCTGTCGTTACAGTAGTAGTAGTAGTCGGACTAAAATACGTCATCAATCCATAGATTGTTTGAGTGTAGATTAGTCAAATTGGGAGAATGTAAACTCACTGGTTGGGGCTGTTGAGGCGCTAGGAGACAATGCCTGAAGATTGTAGGTGAGGTGGTTGAGAATTATTAACAGTGAAGCAGGTGCATTTATTCACTTCTTGCCACAATACAAATTCAGAAAATCGCCACTAAGTTCCATTAAATCAATCTCTTTCCTGCAGGTTTCATCGATTGTTTTAAATTGTACTGGATTTTTTCTGACCAATTTTCTAGGCTTCTCCTTAATTATGATAACTTGAACTGATGTTGCACTGTTGTAAAGAAGTTGTGTTATTCAAAAGTCAGTCCGGCAGTTAGTCAGTCAAAATCTAAGATAGAATGGTAATCCACCGTATGGTAGTTCACTGTATAGACTTTATTTTCTTTGAGTTCTGCGTGGAACATGCGACTTCAGCAACACATCTCCACTTCACACGATTACTCATAAGCTTTCATCTCCTCCTCAAACCGTCTCCTCTAAATAACCCTCAGAATCAAGTCCAGCTTAGCTTTTTCCATTCGAGTTCCCCTTGAGGGTTAGTCTGGCGCGTGATATCACTCAACACTCCTCTCGACATGTGTATGACCCATTTCCATTCTGTTCGGTATATCTGTTCGACAGTAGGTTCTTTGAGAATTTGTTGTTGGCGTTCCTTGTCGCCAATCCTTTCAAGACATCTGATCTTCGGTATGGAGCGAAGGTAGCTGTTGATAAAAGTTTGCAACCTGATGGAAATGCTTTCAGCTGCATGGTAAGACTCAGAATCATTTAGAAGCAGTGAATTGACACTACTGGTGAAAATCTAAATATTGTTTTTTTATGCCGAGTGCAGAAGATTTCCACATTGGTTTAAGATTATTGAAGGTTTGTCTTGCTTCTCCTCTACCATGTACACCTTCATCTGTGTCGCCTATACGTTCCCTGAAAGTGACCTTTTGCAAGCTGTGGAGCTTGTGCCTATGTTTCTCATCAGCATGAAGATTTAATATTGTTTATTATTAGTACTACTAATATTGTTATTATCATTAACTCTGTGTGCATTAATTAACTGATGTCAGAATGAAGAGGAACACATTTCATCAACATCCTATTTTGACTCATTTTATACTGGGCTAAAAGCTACACTTAATAATCTGACAGTAGATGACGGCAACCAGTTGATCAGACTGAACTAAATAGAATGGAACTCGAACTTGGGGTTCATTGTCTGAAAGTCTGGGATAGCATTAGGCCAATAAGACACATCTTCATAATGTAATCTAGTCTATGTGTAGGAGTAAGTTGGCTGGGAATTCAAGCCAGGAACAAGTGCGTGGCCGACCAGAGTTCTAGTGTCGAACTACTGACACACCTTATATTATTAAACTTCATCAAAACATATCTGTTCATTAACATTTGCGAAAACCTGGCACTGTGGTAGTGTATAACTTTATATACACAGTTAAAACAGTACATGACGTTTTGAACACATTATATTATTCATAATCTCACTATCAGTAGTGACTAAACGACTCTGAGATCCGGACTTTATAGTTTTCATTCTGCTTCTTTCCAAATTGTCACAACGGTAGCAAAATTATCCAGATGTCCAGAACAGGTGTTGAACCTTTCGATATTACACACATATTCTCAGGTGCTTTTATTAATTAGGCTAGTGTTATTGATCTCTTCCTCCACCCTGTTATACTACCATCTTATCTCATCCTATTGTATGGTTGTTCGTAATTACATGTGGTGCTATCATTACTATATAACACTGTTCCTTTTGAGTTCCAAGTAGAAAATATAGCTTCAGCGGCACATCTTCACTTTGTCCTGTTCTTTGTGGTCCTCTCTGGTGGGTCCCACAGTCACGTATAGTCTGTGATCGCTTCCTTACACGATCTCCTTCATGCCAACCTCGTATGACAAACTTGTCGTTCCCCTCTTAGTTTCACCTGGATGTTCAAATGCAAGACGTCTTCTAGCGTGTGTCCAATCCATCTCCGTTTTCCTTAGCATACTTGTTGATCAATAACTTCTTAGTTGGTTTGTTTCCCGATTTTCCTCTTGCCAATTATTTCTGGCCATTTCATCTCCAGTAGAGAGCAAAGGCAACGTATGACAAAAGCCTGCAATCCATTAGTAATGCTTTTCGTGATGCTTGCTGGACGTTTTTGACTTAAAACCGGTGCAGAAAATTAGAATCTTGTTCTTCATACTGAATGCGGAAGATACCAAAACTGATTTCAGATTGGTAAAATTCTGCCTTGACTCTCCAATTCTGACTTTGATATCCAAATCCATTTTGCCTGTAGTTAAAACGATAGTTTCTTGATGAGGTCAAGGAATGACCACTTTCAAATTTATTCCGTTGATAATGGTTGGTATTGGTTGTTGTTGTTGCTGTTGGTTTATTTTCATCACCTCCGTTTTCTCCGTGTTCATCACCTAAGGTGCTGTCTTTGCTGCCAGATGCTCCTACAAATTTGTTGGTTTTCATCTCTAGGTAGGCCTTCGAGTTTGTGTGACACTAAACATATATCATCTGTGAAATCCAGATCTTCTAGCATCTTCTTATAGGTCGTCCAGCGTGTTCCTGTCTCCTCGCTCCCAACGCACAGTCTGACGCATAATCCAGTCCACCACAATTGAGAATATCATTGATGATAATAGACAGCCAGTTTGTCTTACTCCTGCATGCACTTCAAACGCCTCTCTGAGTTTTCCGTCGTGGATCACCTGGCACGTGGGATTGTAATATAGCCAGCTATCGAATGAGGTTGATAAATATTTGGGCACTGCACGCTGTAATGTTGAAGTAGTTTCCAAATTACTTCTTGGTCAACACTGTCTGTCGAAGGCCTTTTCGAAGTCAATGAAGTCCTTGAGGTACAGGTTTGACTGTCATTCTGTACACTGTTCGAAGATGATGCGTGGAGTTGTAATCTGATCAGCAAATTATTTGCTTTTTTCTGAGTTGAGTTTGTCCTACGCTTAGTTCTGCATCCAGTGCATCTTTTATCCTCTCCAGGATGATGCGACTTAGTATTTTACTTGGCGTGTACAAGTTCAAAGGCATAAGTCGCTCTTCTTTGGTAGCTTGACAAGGTAGGTACCTTTCCTTCCTTCGAAACTTTCTGTAATAATGTCGTCAGTATATCCGCTACCGTCTCTAGTTCCGTTTTCGTTGCTTCGGGGAATTCCATCTAGTTCCACTGTCTTCTTAGACTTCAGTAGCCTGACTGCATTCAAGACTTCTGCCTTTTTTGGAGGATTGGTGTGGTGCTACAGATAAGCTTATTAACGTCTACTAGTCTATATTTCGCAAGGCTTTTGTGCTCCACTAATCTAACTAACTCACCTGGCATACTCCTTCGACCCATTTGTCTGACCTCAGATTCACCGCACAATATTGGATCATAATTAGAATGATTTGTTATTTTGTTTACTGTGTCCATATTTCGTAACAATTACTATTGTCTGCTACTGAAATGTAACCCCTGACACAGCTCTACTGTTATTTTTTCTTTTTATTAAGCACCTTGACTCCTTGAACATTTCACCAACTTTATTTTCACTGACATGTGGGGGGAGGGAAGGTGATCTGAAATTTCAATATTTGTTTGCAGTGATATTTAGCAAATACTACTCAGCAGACTGCTGAGGTCCTTTAATATCAAATGAATCGCATTTACAGCTGGAAAACAAATTCAAATTATGAGCCCATACTACTGATGTCCATTTCAGTAGTATACAATTTATTTATAAATAAATAATTTTAAATTACTTCAGACTTACTTTAATCATAGCAAGACCCATAAGAACACTGGTTGGATCACCACTACTGAGACTCTTATACTCATACATTGAAGAATTCATAAAATCGACAAAGAATTTCTCAGGCTGAAATAAAATTACAAACGAATTCATAAGTTTATATAATATAATGGTTTTATTAATGAGAGGAAGGAATTTGAAAGAGGTTACTTCATTCACTTATCTAGGGAGCATTGTCTCAACTACACGCACATGGAACGGACGAGGATGTCAAATCGAGAATCGGGAAGGCGAGAAACACATTCATCAACCTGAAAACAATCTGGAAATCTTCGTCACTCAGCCTGCATCAACAACAAAATTCGGATTTTCAATACAAACGTCAAGTCAGTCAGTTCTTCTATACGGGTCACAAAGAATATTTCCAACAGCCTGTTGCAGACCTTTATCAACAACTGTCTTCGCTCCATACTGAAGATCAGATGGCTGGAAAGAACAAGAACCAACAAGAAACTATGGGAACAAACAAAACAGGAACCAATCGCCCAACAAATATGCAGGAGAAAGTGGAGATGGATTGGACATTCGCTGAGGGGGCCGCTGCTGGGTGACATCGTGCGCCAGGCCAGTGCTCGAGTGGAACCTGGAAGGGAAGCGGCGAGTTGGTCGTCAGTGCAAGGGTGACATGGAGGAGATCGTGTGAAGAGGAGCTGAAACAGTATGGACTAACATGGATGCAAGTGAAAAGTACAGCAGAAGACAGAAGCAAGTGGCGACGTGTATTTGAAGCCCTGTGTTCCACTAGGAACACAGGGGATTAGTAATAATAATAATATATTAAATCTGGTGTAGATTTAATAATAACCTTAGTCTAGATGGGAAAGCTAGTTACTGCACAATTTCGACCAGAAGTTGCCAGGTTGTTGGCCTGAAACCTTTGATGATCGAATCATGAAACCGAAAAATAAGCGAAGATTAAATGAATGTAGTAGGAGCAACGTTCATCCGTTACGCCGCAAGTCGTGAAGTTGGTATTCTGGTTTGAAGTTGAGGAATAAGAGCATTTATAGGAATTCTTCTGATTTTCCCACAGATTGACCCTTCTAGACATGTCGATGTGCTGGCTTCTAGTACGCATGCTTAAAGGACGCTGTGAGATTAACATGATTTAGACAACACGATGGCATTTAAGATGACAGGAGCTAGGTTCAAGTCTCAGCATGGCCACCATCACTCACTGTCGATGCAGGCGCATATAAGTGAAGATTCCCAAATTCGCATCCTGCACTGAAAAACCAGTTGGTTCAACTCGTAACCTGAAGGTTCTAAGTTCAATTCCCAGTGATGTCGTGGGTGTATACTGCCGAAAACTCTCGAACTAAGACGGTTCAGCTATCATGTAAGCTTTAGTCTCCAAGGTTTCTCTAACTGTAGTCAACTCGAGGTCTTACTTGAAACTATTCGAATTCCTGCAAACTAATGCTTTAAAACCACCTGGTTTTTGAGCTAGTTTCATACAGTAGGTCTGATACCATAGATGATTAAGTGTTCGACTGACAGGTTAAATATTTTCAAAAGTTGACTTGCAGGGATTTGATTCGATTGGTTACAGGATTTTATCATGAGCTGAAGTCGGTTAGAGAACCGCTGGAAAACCTGGGAGTGTTGGATAGGTGCTTCTGTTGCCCTAGTTTGAGAATCTTTATTAGTATGCACTCTCGGGATCGGGTCCCTATGGCTTCGTGGTTTACAAGTCCGCCTTGTAGCTGAAAGGTCCTGAGTTCGAACCCCATCGGGTGCGTACTGTTAAATAGTTCCAAACTAGGACAGCAGGGACGGCTGTCCAGTACTCTAACGTTGTTTTCCAATGGTTCTCTACTACACCTTGTGCTGTTGTAGGGTATTTATTCAACATTTGTAATGATAGTCGTAACTGGTAGAGTCGAATGGGGATAACTGAGTTTTAGCATTTTACTCATCATAAGCGCTTTGAGGATCCTTCACATTGATTCGATGAATTATATACACATATATATATTTTCAAGTATTGGTTTTGCAGGAATTTTGCTTGATTGGTTGAAGGGTTTCATCGTGAGCTGACATCAGTTAGAGAACCATTGGAAAACCACCTGAGAGTACTGGACAGCTGTTTCGTCAGCCTACTTTGAGACTCTTCATCAATACGCACCCACCACAGGGGTTCTAACCCAGAACCTTCCAGTTACAAAGCTAGAGAGCTCGTAGACCATTCAGCCACTGCGCTCCGATCCAATGGCCAGCACATGAATTCTAACTTCTGACAATTCGAACTCAGAAGGGTGCGTACTGCTGAAGAATCAGAAACTAGGACGAAACAGGTGGCTCTCCAGTACTCCCTCGTTTTTCAATGGTTCTCTAACTGATGTCAGCTCATGATGAAACCCTTCAACCAATCAAGCAAAATCCTGACAAAAGCCAGTACTTGAAAATTTATCTGATGCTCACTAGAGACTGGCTCTATTAAGGCAGTTAACCTGGGGTTCTAGTGAGAGGCCGTGACCAGTAGGTTGCAGCAGGTTAGAAGTTAGGCAGTAACTCATCGAAGAAGACATTGTCAAATGGTGGCGCTATGTTGTAAATTGACAGAAGCAAGAATTCATGGGCTGGTCAGTGGATCAGGTCCCAGTGGCTTAATGGTCTACGAGCCAACTAGCCTTGTACCCAGAAGGTCCTGGGTTTGATCCCCGGTCGGTGGGTGCCTACTGATGAAGAATCTCAAGCCAGCCGGACAAAACAGCTTGTTGTCCAGTACTCCCAGCTGGTTTTTCAATGGTGCTGTAACATGTTAGCTCATGATGAAATCCTCCAGCATATGCATATAAGCTCGCAGATTTTGATGCCTTAAATACACAATTCTTTTTTCTTAGAAATCTGATTTTGTTTCTTTTCCCCGTTTACGTATATCACAATACCTAATGTACATAAATTTGATACTGTATAAATAATAATAATAAATAGAATTGATTACATTCTCCAATATGGTATCCTGAGCAAACAATACGATTATGTCAGAGATTTGTAAATTGCAAAAAAAAACTCTACACACTACATCTAATCTCATTCATTTTTAGAAAGGAGGAATTTTGAGTTAGCTTGTAGAATAGAGTGATTTCACTTCTCTGTTTCACTTTTCTACTTGAGCACAAATCAGATGTCATATGAATATAGATCAAACTAAAAAGTTTGCCTTTTTTAGGCTTTATATAGTGATCTCAGTTAGTATGAATTTAGATTTTGTCAAGTGGAGAAATCAGGTCAGAGGATCATTTAAAACTAGAGCGAACTGGTCAGCTGTATGCTTAAAGTTCACGACTGTATAAATTGTGCATACCTACGATTTGACGGTGGATGCAGCTTAGAACTTTGAGGTTAGCATCAAAGCACATTTACTACACACCCATTGTAATAGGATCCAAACCGCGACCAACCAACCAATGTGTTCAATGACTGTGTGCTTCACATAAGGCATAGTGGACCACACTGGTCACAATTTCTCATTGAAATTCTCAGGAAATCCATCCTGTGGTCACCAGTGAGTTGGGTATTGATATTCTGATCGTGTGTTTTGTAGAGATCTAGATTTATGACAATGTAGACTTTGTAACGAAAAAGAATCACTAATAGAATCACTGAAAACCAAGTAGTCCTCAACAACCAGAGGTCGAACGAGGAACATTGATGTAAGATCAATGATCATTCAGTTGGAATCAAACGATTCATGAATTCTAACTATTGATTCAACTGGTATACATTAGACAAAAGTGACTTTTAAGATTGGAACCTCTATGATTGATTTCATCAAGTCGGAAACATGTAGATGAAATTCAAACTTCTAATTTTATTTGACTTTATGCGACCTCTTGATGGTATATGAAACGCATGGTTACTGGTTTAGTGAATCCCAAACGCATAAATCTAAAGTAGCATTTGTGTTGATGAAGACTACCTGCGTTGAAACATTCTGAAAAAATCACTGATGCACAGTGTCAATAACAACAGAAAAACTATCCACCTTTCATATGATATCAACTAGATTAGAAGGTCTTTAACTGGACATCTTTATTTCATCCTGTTTTCTGCAGCCCCTGTAGTTGGCCCCATGACTGCTCTGAGTGTTTCAAATCCACCTGTATTCCTTTTGTCATATTTGTAGGGTAATAGGTCCTTTTCTGACAGTCTATCTATCTTCAGTGTGAAGCTGGAGAACATAGCTATCAATGAAAGTTTACAGCCTTCTTGGAATACTTTTGATGATGCACAAAATCCCTAAACCCCAGAAAACGATTGAATGATTGGACATTATTGTCTGGGATCCCAGCCTTGTTTCTCATGCTTATTGCAGTATATTTCTACAGTCATTTCAGAGCAGCGTAGGTCTGCTTTGCTACCTCGATCCTGGTTTTGACATTGCAGTTGAATCATTGCTGCCTAGATAAGTAAATAAGTTAACTTCTCATAGATTTCTCCCGTTTCCGATGATTTATTCATTTTGCATTTGGTCTGTTTGTCTTTAGTATACTTACTTGGAAGTCTTGTCTTTGCTCCCTTTTTCACTAACTGTTTAATCTTCACCTATAGACCTTCCGGTTTCTAAAGCATTTGGCATAAGTTATTCATGAAGTCCCGATCTTCTTCAGTCTTCTTGTTGGTCCCACATATGTCTGTCTTCCAACTCTCCACTGTGTGCCGCATGACCCAGTCCGACGTAATCAAGAGTATCATTGGTGATAATAGAATTGATCGTATGCCTAACAACAAATTGATTTATATTCCTCATTAAATTTCGCCACCTTTGTAAATTTTTAGAGGTAGAATATAGCCTAGGTAAGTACATTCTCTAAATCTACATAGTGATTGTTTGAACGCTGAGTGACGTGGTGTCGAATCTCCGTCAGCACATCAACTCCTTTAGCACTCTAGATTCGCCTTGTTAAGAAGTCCTATGTTCACAACTTCTCATAGCTTAGCTTCAAGTAGCCAAAATCATTTTGGAGTACTCATTAAGATATTGTGTTGCGTAACTTAGTGACCGAATCGTAAATATGACTGATAAAATACTTTTAAGTGACTCAGCGAAGAGACTCTTCTCAATGATTTTATTATCAAGTTTACGGTCATATATATATGGTGTCCCTGGAACATCGTTAACTATAGCGTTTTCCAGTCAACTATTACTGTTTAGTTGCCTGAAGGACAAGATCACGCAGTTGACCAGTTTTGTGTGCATTAATCAATTCATTTGCTTGTGAAGAGGTAGGTATATCGGTTGTTCGACGCAGATTTTGTCCGAGAGGGTGCATGAACACTATCCAATCGGGTTAAGAAGAAGTGATAAGAATCTCAGTAACTGAACGTCTTTTCGATACTGGTTACCTTATTTCTACAGCTCATTCCTTTAAAGTTGTCTACAAGGCTAAAAGTAATTTATCCAGTGCCCTGCGTATCCACCCCATCTGTATTTCTGAAGCTCTGGCCCTCGAGATAGAAAAGCCAGTTCTCTGTTTATATAAGAAGTCTGTTACACCCCTCTAGTTCTCACGGTCTTAATCCATCTATGCTAAAGTATTATAATCTCCATCCATAATTTGACCCCACTTAGTTTTCGTTTTGTCTATTGAACTTGTATATAATTTCCTTGTTAAATCGATTGGTACAATTATTGTTCTCACTTTGAACCCTTTCCGGTATTATTTCACTTATCCCACTTGTCAAAAATTGTTTTTTCAACGTCAAATTATGTCTTATCAAATTTCGCATTATGTTGTGTAACATTTTTATTTGCCTGCTAATTCTATATTTTACATTTAAGAAGAATTTATTTCAACAGACAAATGGTGTTGCTAGGGGTTCACCAGTTTCTTTAAAAGTCGCTGACTTTTTCATGAATAGATTCGAAGATAACATCTTTTCAAGCACACTCATGCCTAAAGTATGGTTAAGATATGTAGGTGATAATTTAATAGTGCTGAAACGAGATATACACAGTTCATTCTTCGAGAAACTGAACAATCCATCTCCCAGAATCCAGTTTACTTTGGAAGCAGGCAGAATCCGACGTCGGTGAACTACCATTTCTAGACTGGGAGGGAAAATTGACATTTTAGTATATCTATATTCCGGAAGAAAACCCAATCCAATAAATATTTAGACTTCAGATCATCACACTCCACTAGCGCAAAGGTATCAGTTGTTTCAAGTCTTCTTAGACGAGCACACTCTTTGATATTAACGGATGAGACAAGGAAAAGGAAGACGAAATATCAAACATTACTAAAACTCTCAAGCAAAACAACTACCCAAAGAAATTCATTACCAGAATCAGCACTGACATTAAATATGGTCGAAAACGTATTCCAAAAACATAGACCTCAACAGTTGTCATTCCATACAGAGCAGAGATGTCAGACGATATCAGAAGGGTACTCAATAATTTGGAAATCAGAGTTCTCTTCACACTGTGAAACAACCTTGTCCATTTAAAAGACCAAATTCCTAAAGATTCTCTATCTAATTGTGTCTATAAAATAAAATGTTTGGAATGTGATGAGATGTACATTGGATAAACATCTCGAGAAATCAAAATCAGAATAAATGAACACTGTAGAGCATATGTTAGACCACTTAGAAGTAAATCGAGTTGAACTAGAAAAGCTTGAAAAATCATCAGCCACAGGTGGTCTACACGCTGTAGAATCACGCTACAAAATTGATTTTGACAATATTGAAATCATCATCCAGAAAATTCTAGAAATCACAAAGAACGTCTCATATCAATCAGAAGCACTTCATATCAAATGGAATCCTAATTGTCTGAATAGAAGTGAATTATGGATTAAAACAGAATGTGACCTGGTTGCAACACCTCTCTTCCCCATGAAATGATAAAATCAACACGAATGTGATAAGCAGTTTCATTATGTAAACACACTTATCAAATCCAACAATCTACACCTGATTTTGTTATCTTTACCAAATGGCCAATTTGACAACGCAAAAGTGACCCCATGCTGAGGAACGGTGATAAAGTTGTTATATATAAGCTGAGTGGATTTTGGAAATTCTGGTTTACTGTGATTACTTTGGTAAAGCTATTAGCAGCAGCATTAATTAGAGAAACGTCAGTAAAAATGACAAAATTGTTCATTGTTTTTCATTCACTGGGAAATACAAAAACAACTTTTATTATAATGAATTTATGTGACCTATGTCACAGACCATTCTTTAAGTTACTACTCCAATATTATTCCACTTAATAGATGAAGACATGAAAAGACTAAGGGAACAATGAAAGCATGAATAAGCAATAGTATGCATCACTCTGCATCACTTACCGATTGTTTCGTTGTAAAGTAGACTGCCAGTGTGATAATGTGTGCCAGTATAACAAGGAAGATGACAGCCATATACTGTAGGAATAGAAAGTAAAAAAGCAAGGCAAATGGGAAACTATAACATTACTGATTTACTAAGTGCTTGTACAAACTATATTATTAGAAAACAATAATACTGGTGCATGGAGCACAGAACTCCGTCAGTCCCAAGGACTAATCTGGATTCGTGGAAGGCAAATCATGTGCTGATCAGATTGCAGCCCTGCGAATCGTCATCGAACAAAGTACAGAATGGCAGTCACACCTGTACCTCAACGACTTCATTGACTTCGAAAAGGCCTTTGGCACAGCGTTGACCGAGACGCAATTTGGAAACTACTTCAACACTTTGGCATGCAGTTTCCAAATCTTCATCAACTTCATTCAAAAGCTGGCTATATGACAATGCCTGCCACATGTCAGGTGATCCACAACGGAAAACTGAAGAGGACTTCGAAGTACATAGAGAATTAAGAAAAGGCTGGCTGCCTATTATCAACGATTATATTCTTAATTGTGGTGGACTGGATCATCAGTCAGACTGTTGAGAGGGAGAAGACAGGAATACGCCGGACGACAGATAAGAAGACTCTAGAAGATCTGCATCTCGCAGATCACATATGTCTAATGTCACACAAACTCAAAGATTTGCAAGCGAAAAGTAACAAACTGGCTGAATAGGTGAGGCAGGCAGCAAAGACATGGCTAGAGTTGATGAACGTGGAGAAGATGGAGGTGATGAAGATAACCAGCGAACCAAAAAAACAACAACCAGTACCCGTCACCACCAACGGGAGAGATTTGACTGATGTTACTTCTTTCACTCATCTAGGAAGAATAGTTTCAACTGCAGGTGGAGGAACAGATGAAGATGTCAAAGCCAGAGTGGATCGGAAATGCATGATACGCCTTCATCATCCTGGAACCAGTCTGGAAATCTTCTGCACCGACTCAGCCAGCATAAAGAACAAGATTCACATTTTCAAGACGATTGTGAAATCGGTCCTTCTATACGGGTCAGAAACTTGCAATGCGCGTCACGAAAAGCATTTACAACATCTTGCAGACTTTCATCAACAGCTGCCTCCTTCACTGGCTCCATACTGAAGATCAAATGGCGAGAAGGAGTTAGTAACAATAAACTCTGACTGAGAACAAATCAACAAGCAAGAACTGACCGCCCAACAAACATGTAGAAGAAAATAGAGACGGATGGATCGAACATACATTGAGGAAACCATCGAGTGGAATCGCGTGCAGTTCAGGCCATCACTCGAGTGGAATCTCAATGGAAAGTGGCGAGTGGGTCGTTATTGCGATGGTGGCATGGAGGAAATCGTGTGAGGAGACGATGAGAGAATTATGGGTAATCGTGGACCCATCTGAAGAGGATGGCATAAAATGGAACAAAGTGGGGGATGTGCTTTTGAAGCTCTATGTTCCACCCGCAGCCCAAGGGAACAGTAATAATACTGGTACTTAAGGCTATGCGGAAAATGTTCGACAGGTAGTTACGATATGTGCATAAATGCGAAAAATGGTCTAAATCCATTTGGTTGACCCTCAACGCCCCCTCTATTCTCAACTCTCCCCTTGTATCTCATCTGGTAGAACTAGAAGTCAGTTAAGAAAGATTGTGTGCTTGTACTGGCAAGTATAAGAACTCAACGATACCATATTTGGCCCGTGTTCACTGCGATAGAGAAAATGTTGAGCGTGAAACCAACGACTTACTACATTATTAGCAAGGTAATCGGCTCTTTTATTCTCTCCTGTTTGTAATCTATGGCGACACCATCTCAGTTAACTGACAGTCTTAGCTACTAACATTAGTATTATTATTTATAATTTCTTTGTGTATGTATATGACTTCAATGTCACGAAAAATACCAAATAAGGACTGTCATTAAAAAACCTGCAATAATAATTGCAAAATAGCTTTAAATGTTGTTCGATAGAATAAGATGAAATCTTGTACCAAATGCTGAAAATTTCACACTGTACAATTTGTACTGTTTTGGAATAAAGCAAATTATTATTATTATTATTCTACAGAGCGAAAATCTACAATCTCATAAGGGATCAACAACAAAAGTATTAGACGCTACATACTACTGACACATAGATATGAGTAGTTAGACACCAATCTCACCAATCAGTATTGCCTGTCAGTCAGGTAGTCAGATTAATGTAGTCTAAACACTTAACGGTCATTTCCCTAGTTTGAGTCTCCGCTCATCATCAGTCTATCTGTTTCAACTTAGCTCACAGGATCTTCTGATCAGTTGAAATCATTGAAATTCTGACTAGCTGGCAAATTAACTGCGAAGGAGACAGTCGTCAAATTTTACTTCGCATTGAGAAATTACAAATTGAGATCTTGATTTAGAAGCATGAGAATTTACGATGAATAAGCGCCAATAACCAACAACGGGAAGGATTTGAAGGAGATTACTTCATTCACTAACTTATCCAGGGAGCATTGTCTCAACTACAGGAGGAACGGATGAGGATGTCAAATCGAGAATCGGGAAGGCGAGAAACACATTCATCAACCTGAAAACAATCTGGAAATCTTCGTCACTCAGCCTGCATCAACAACAAAATTCGGATTTTCAATACAAACGTCAAGTCAGTCAGTTCTTCTATACGGGTCACAAAGAATATTTCCAACAGCCTGTTGCAGACCTTTATCAACAACTGTCTTCGCTCCATACTGAAGATCAGATGGCTGGAAAGAACAAGAACCAACAAGAAACTATGGGAACAAACAAAACAAGAACGAATCGCTCAACAAATATGCAGGAGAAAGTGGAGATGAGGGGGCCACTGGGTGACATCGCGCGTCAGGCCATTGCTCGAGTGGAACCCGAAAGGGAAGCGGCGAGTTGGACGTCCAAGAGTGACATGGAGGAGATCGTGTGAAGAGGAGTTGAAACAGCATGGACTAACATGGATGCAAGTGAAAAGTACAGCAGAAGACAAAAGCAAATGGAGACGTGCAGTTGAAGCCCTATGTTCCACTAGGAACCCAAGGGAACAATAATAATAATAAGCCACCATCAAAGAATTTCCTCATATTGTAAGAATAATTTTGCTTGGCGTAAGGTCTGTTACTTGACGTTTTGACCTCTCAAATGTTATGTTGGAGACAACTATTTAAATATCCATGTACATATATGATACAAAGTGAAAAATTGTCGTAATTTAACTGTATATTACCAGTTCACCCAAATGGCTGGCAAGAATTGTGGTGGTTTCAGTTGATTTGGTCTTCTGAACTAAAGGAACCAGATACACCGCTGATGAGATTCGCTGTAAACCAGCAATACTGCCATCCAGTGTGTAAATCCAGCTACTCATACTGATCAACCAGCGACATATTATTATATCATTATTACTGTCCCCTTGGGTTCCTAGTGGAACATAGAGCTTCAACTACACGTCTCCACTTGCTTCTGTCTTCTGCTGTACTTTTCACTTGCATCCATGTTAGTCCATACTGTTTCAGCTCCTCTTCACACGATCTCCTCCATGTCACTCTTGGACGTCCAACTCGCCGCTTCCCTTTCGGGTTCCACTCGAGCAATGGCCTGACGCGCGATGTCACCCAGTGGCCCCCTCAGCGAGTGTCCGATCCATCTCCACTTTCTCCTGCATATTTGTTGGGCGACTGGTTCTTGTTTTGTTTGTTCCCATAGTTTCTTTTTGGTGATTATTTCCGGCCATCTGATCTTCAGTTGTACAGAGCGAAGACAGTTGTTGATAAAGGTCTGCAACAGGCTGTTGGAAATATTCTGTGTGACCCGAAAAGTTTCTGATCCGTATAGAAGGACTGACTGACTTGACGTTTGTATTGAAAATCCGAATTTTGTTGTTGATGCTGAGTTGAGTGACGAAGATTTCCAGATTGTTTTCAGGTTGATGAATGTGTTTCTCGCCTTCCCGATTCTCGATTTGACATCCTCGTCCATTCCTCCTGTAGTTGAGACAATGCTGCCTAGATAAGTGAATGAAGTAACCTCTTTCAAATCCCTCCCGATGATGGTGATTGGCGCTGGATTTTGCTGCTGTTGTTGTTGTTGTTGTTGTTGGTTGGTTACTTTCATGACCTCCGTCTTGTCTATGTTCACCTGCAGTCCTGTCTTTGCTGCTTCTTCGACCAGTTTGCCGGCTTTCGCTTGTAAGCCTCGATTTTGTGTGACATCAAACATAAATCATCCGCGAAATCTAGGTCTTCTAGGTTCTTCAAGTCGGTCCAGGATATCCCTGTCTTCTCGTTTCCTACTGTCTGACGCATAATGCAGTCCACCACAATTAGGAATATCATTGGTGACATTTAGCATAGTGAATTTATGTTCAGGATGAACTTTTTCAAAATAACTTTTACATAAAATACATAAACAAGATTTTAATGTCGACTTACAATTTTTAAGCATAGTGAACTCTTACAACATACACCGAGTATACCAGCCACACATATGCATAGAATAACCAAACCGATAATAAATATTGATATACTGTAATGACCTGAAAAAAATGAACAGGAAGTCGAAAAATGATTTGTATTCATAGAAAACAATATTCAAATAATGTGCAGTTAATCCGGGTTATGCAGGTGTGGCTGAAGTAAGGACTCGAATGACTTCATATCATTATCATCATTCCCGTATTTTACCCACCTGGGAAGCATCGTTTCAACTACAGGCCGACAGAACTGACGACGATATCAAAGCAAGAATCGGAAAAGCAACACAAGCTTTCACTACTCTCAAGTCTGTGTGGAGGTCAACAGTACTACTCAGAATGAAAAGTAAGATCCAGATTTTCAACTTCAATGTGAAGTCAGTGCTACTATACGGATCAGAGACTTGCACTGCGCGTCATAAAGAGCATCTCAAACAAACTACAGACCTTCATCAACAGTTGTCTTTGCTCAATACTCAAGATCAGATGGCCGGCCAGAAAAGATCAGCAAAAGGCAGGGATCTCTGGAAGCGAACCAACCAGGAACCGAATGTGAAACAAATAGGCAGGAAGAAATGGAGATGGATTGGCCATTCTCTGAGGAAACCATCAAGTGACATCACTAGACAAGCCATTGCTCGATTGGAACCCGAAAGGGAAGCGGCGAGTTGGTCGTCAGTGCAAGGGTGACTTGGAGGAGGTCATTTGAAGAGGAGATGAAAGTATGTGGGCAGACTTGGAGCCAGGTGAAAACTCTAGCAGAGAACCGAACGCAATGGAGACGCATGGCTGAAACCCTATGTTCCTCTAGGAATTAAAGGAAACAATCATAATAATAATCAGTGTACTCCTAATTCATCATTTGAAACAGTAACTGATGGGGATAATTCTGAAATTAACACTGAAAATGCTATCTCTATTGACAATGACAGTTTCGCAGTTGAATAACTCATCTCAGGAAAATTGGAGATATCGTAAATATCCACAACGGTTAGTGACTGGAATGAGATTTTAACGTGGAATTTTGCGGAGAAAAAATTTGAGGCAATTCAATTTGTCTAACTTCATAAAATCCCATTGTGAGCCAGTTTCCAAACATTGCTTCTAAGCATTTTAAGAGCCTCCTCGTGTGTTTCAAACCAAAAATTCAACACTTCATGGGACGATACCGTGTTTCGACTTGGTTATCCTTTATTTTATCTTAACCAATCCTGATTCAGAAAACATTGTTTATCGAGGAAACTGGCAGTTAGATATATGGAACACGTATTCTAGTAATCTCAAACGATGTAACATGACAGCCAATGTATGCCTAACCTGATTTTTACTGACCATATTATGCAAATTAGTACGAGGCATAAATAGGAGGCACAGATAGCCTCACTACACATTGCACTTTCACTGGTCATATCTGTCGGCTTTAAAGAATGACAAAGTGAATTGCTGAGGAGTCATTAAGTTTTTGGGCTGATCGTAGGATATCTTGTCTATACAAAGGATGGTATAAACTGATGAATACCATACAAGTCTCTTGTACCCAAGTTGAGATTTCGACAACAATCAGCCTGCTAGGGCTGATGAAACTTTCCAAATAAATGAAGGGGTCAACAGGCTCCCTGTTAAACTAAAATTTGGTAATGACCAGTCCTCTTGGAACACCTTACTTACATTTGATAGAATTGAATCGCCTATCAAGCACTAAGATGTCCAGAAGACTTTGAATTCTATCAATATCTTCACCTAGAAAGACTACGTCATCTAGATACTCGAAGTCGACGAGACTATTCCCAAGAACCAAGTCAGTCGCCAGTTTGCAAAAGTCAACTAGAGCCACCACCTCTTCTAGTATACCTGTGTCGAAATTAAACAAAAATAGAGACAGTGAGCATCACTGATGGAGACTGCAGACTGTCTTCACTTGAGACAATAACTCTCCACACGCCGTTATATGACCGTGTAAGTTAAAGTAGAGTATCTTGATTAGTGCCACATAATTTCTCAGCACTGCCCTCATGACCAGACATTGCTACAGTAACTCTCAATCGACGGAGACCAATGCCACCTTCAGATCAAGAGATAAGACAGCTTGTGATTGGACACTAGTTAGTAACTCGTGTAATGTGTCTAGTCCTTTTTGTTTACCGCAGACTGAATTCTATCAGTCGAGTTTGTAGTGTGACCACCATTCTAGGTGGCTCGTCATCAAGATGCCCTTTGAATTGTTGATATTAGATGGCTGGAAGCAATCGGCAGGAAGTAGTCCTACAGAAGATCGATGGCGAGGCCGAATAGTTGAGTTGTACCGTCTCTGACTGCAGCACTGGGTGATAGGGGTTCGAGTTTCAGAAGGGACATGAGTTCCTTGTTGACAATCGCCAACTTGCACGAAACCTAGGTTCAAGGCTTCCTGCCAACTGCCTCCAACCATCTAACGTCAACAGTTAAGGCAACTGTTGGGCACCGGGAAGTATGCCTATATTTCAGAATCCATTGAGTGTAAAATCAACACAACCTCCTTCTGGTTTGGTTTAGTTTACGCATAATAATTGAAACTAGAAATTTAGATACTATATAAGTCCAGCTCATTCCCCTATGACTATCAAAAGAAGCCTCATCTCTGCTCTCATTAACTCGGATTTTTAAACATTTAGTTCAGTCTTATATAATTATCTCTGATTCCCACACATTACCTAATACCATAGTTAACCCACACAACGCTTTGTCACCACCGTCTCAAAACACTTCTGGAGCCATTCACTTAAGTCCTTCTGCTTTGCCTCATTCAAGATTAGGGACTGCCTTCGCAACCTCTATTAGACTTGAAGGACGAATGTCTACATGGTATTCAGCTAGGTTCTTGATGTTGGGCAAGTTGACCGTGGTTTTAATCGAATTAAATTGTTCTTCAAAGTGTTCCTTCCGAAATTCCAACCTTATATCCTCAGAGATAATTAAGGCGCCTATCTTCTTGGAGATCTACTCGCATATTATTTATCCTTGGCAACCTGCTTCTCTGATAAGCGTCTGTGGTTGCTGGTGTAGCTGACCGCCAGTGCCTTTTCCATCTCTCTCACCTTCCAAAAGAAAATAATAATAATGGAAAAAAAGAAATCGAAATTTTCTACTTACTACTAATATTCATTACAGCATCACTAATACTTTTTGTAATAGATGTTGTATTTGAAAACTCTGTCTTATTGAAGAAATCATCCCATACATCACCAAATGTTTGTGATGGTACATTTTTAGACCATGCCATTAAACCACCGTTTATAACCAATGCTAATCCAACAATCTGAAGATTAAAACAAAAGTAGGAGAAGAGGAACAACTGTCAGATAAACTGTCAACATCAAACTCAAAGTACCGTCATGACCACAGTCATGTTGGAGAATCCAGTAAAATTTCATGCGGCGGAGACAAGTGAACTGAAAATCACTCAACAGAAGAATGTACTTAGTATGTGGATCGTGACTGGCAGTGGAATCCACCAGGATGCGTATTTCGTCCTATTTGGGACTCGTCGTCTGGGCTCGAACCCAGTGCCCATGGTTTCAAACGCCAAAGCTTTATCCACTGGACCACTCGGTCTACTAGAGCCACCTCTTGTGCAACAGATCATATTAATTTAACTGAATTTTAGGTTTACCCGTCTATTGATTGAATCGAAGTGCTCCGTCTCAGGTTGACATGTCAGCTTCTTGTGCAGATGCTTCGACGATGTCTGGGTATTTACTGAGAATTTAATTTGTGGATGGTGACTGGCAGTGGAATCCAGGATGCCAAGAAGCTGACATGTCAACCTGAGACCGAGCACTTCGGTTCAATTAATAGACGGGTAAATCTAAAATTCAATTAGGAGAATGCATTATTGGTTCACTGTCTTAGGCACAGGACGTTTAGTCAATGGGTGCCATCTGAATCCAAGCCTCCCCCACACCCACCTACTACTAGGAAGTAAGCGACTACTGGTTAATACAGTCAACTTTTGTTGTTAAACCACAGCCACTTGAGGTCCTATACAGTTGGCAGTAAGACATCGCTATTGTTTAAGGGCAAGTAATGCCTTGTAGCAACTAAAACCTCAGTAGATGGGAAGGGGTTTGACTCAATGGCTAGAAGTCAAGCGCCCAAGCCAATAAGCTGCAGCTCCGCTTCACAGATTCCCATCATACTTTGTTCTGGAGATTCAATGAATCTGTAAAATCACAAATCTATATCCATCCGAGACGTTGAGAATGATTTTGAGCTATTTTACCAACAACTTCAGCTCTTTGTTCTTATCTTCCCCAGGACCTTAACTAAGCGATGGACAGCTTTTTTTGGAATCTCAGGCCAATGGTCAAAGACTCCGACATCTGAATTTCTTACTGTGTGACTAAAGTAAACGCATATCTGAAGGCAATACTATTTAAAGTCTTCAACATGTTGCACATCTTCTGTTTTCAATAATTGTGTTTCCCCGCCTTCCTCCCATAGAACAGGATACAGCGCGCTGTTATGCGTTACATCCTACAGCTGATAAACAATGGAATATTTCTTTTGTTTAGTATGAAATTTAATTTGGTAGGAGCTACTTATACTCAAGTAAAACGGGATTTTGGAATTGTATGTGAAATAATAAAGTACTAAGATATGATAGAAAAGATTTGTAGCTCAGGTGGATGATTTTGATATGGTTGTGTACTCTGAGCTGGATAGTTAATTTGCGAAGCTTTCATCGCCCTACTAGGCGACATCTTCAGCGCATACTTCAATTTGAAGTGAGCTTTCAGATTTCTCCACAAGTTTATTATTCATCTCTCCTGGTGACCTTGGACTTGATTGGTTGTTTTTGTGTGTTTTCACACCTTCTAGGTTATTCGTATTGTAACTCATTGTTTCTTTGACTTGAACTTTGATCCTTTGTGTGTGACGTTTCTTTCTTATCGGTTGATAAATTTTGTCTATCTCGATGTGTCTATTGATTGATGATTCACTGGAATGCCAAGCTTCTAAAAATTCTCTAGCACTCTTGTTGTTTCCTCTGTCTAATATTTGAACGTTGTCCCAGTCGAATTGATGTCTGTGATTGTCTGTATGTAGTGATATGAGGGAGTGGATATCATGTCTTTTGACAGCTAGCTTATGTTCGTGGATACGAAGACGAAGAGAGGGGTGTCCACTTTGGCCAATGTAGTGTTTTTCGCAGTTGATACAATCTATTTTGTAGATGATGTTGGTTTTTTCTTCCTTCACTGTTGAGTCTTTTGGTTGATATAGAATTGAGTGAAGTGACTTTGTTGGTTTGTGTACGACGTCAATTCCTAAAGGTTTGAAGAATCTTGTAGTGATTTCTGAGATGTCCCTTTATATATGGTAAGGCGATTTTCTTTGTGCTTTCCGATAAGAAAGAAACCTCATCCACAAAGGATCAAAGTTCAAGTCAAAGAAACAATGAGTTACAATACGAATAACCTAGAAGGTGTGAAAACACACAAAAACAACCAATCAAGTCCAAGGTCACCAGGAGAGATGAATAATAAACTTGTGGAGAAATCTGAAAGCTCACTTCAAATTGAAGTATGCGCTGAAGATGTCGCCTAGTAGGGCGATGAAAGCTTCGCAAATTAACTATCCAGCTCAGAGTACACAACCATATCAAAATAAAGTACTTAAAACTGTCAATATAAAAATGAAAATTGTTTCGAAAACAGGCAAACACTATGGGATTCGAACCAATGACTTGTTAAATGGAAGATGGTTGCCGACAACTCCCCAGACCAAAACAGCTATTTAGTCCTCCCTGAGGTTTAACGATTCTCTAAACCCTACGCTTGTACGACTGAACATGAAAACTCAAGTTAACTTCTTATGCCAAGCTATTTGTATGAGGGAAGAATCGTTAAGCATGATATCACTTATCCACTTTGCGACAATAAATAAACTGCTGTTTCCATTATTCCTATCACACCAATGCATTACTATTATTATTATTACTATTGTCATTATTGTAAACACTTTAGAGCTCCTGTAATCATCGGTGTGCATCGGTGGCACAGCGGTTAGGACGCTTGCCAACCATGCACATGGTTCGAGGTTCGATCCCCGGCCACCGATGCACTCCTCCACCTCGCTAAGCCAGTAATAAAGCTGGTAAAGAGAAAAGGTTGGCGATGAGGCTGGCTAGCAACTCCATCCTGTAAAAGTAATCACCACTGCTACATAAACTTCAAGCCTCTAGCTTGAAGTCCCACTATGTAACACTGGGAACGTGAAGGAATAAAGAAAAAAATCATCCAAACCCTAAACCATGTAATCTGAAGACGATGTAAGATGGAGTATTGTACTATATGCCAAGATTTCCACATTGTGTCAAATATATTTTTAGGAATAAAGCCATCGCTATTGTCATTATTACTATCGGATCAAACTATATCCGTGATGCCATATATTACTGACTGAGTGACAGATATGGATACTTGGATACCACTCATATCAATCAGTACAGCCTGAAAGCTAAGCAGATCAAAGTGGTTTAATCCCTGTTCTTTTGGGCTCTCAACTTGTCAACAGTGTATCCCGTATGACTCAGTTCAGAGACCCAAGTCACTTGAAATTACCTGTATTCCGTACAACCACACTAATTTACCATTTACACAAAGTTCGAGCAGATGAAATTCCGCCAGTTTCCTTTGGTGACCGAAACTATTCAGTTCACTGTGTTGTGTAATCTGCTCTATACCATGAGTAGCAATCAAGAATGCAAGCGTGAATCCAAGAGAAGTGAAATACATAATGATTCATTGAAGCTGACTTACCGCAACCACTGCATTCACAATAAATAATATGATTGTATATAGAATAGCTACCATTTTTATAATTTTATCTGAAAAGTGAAGAAAAACAGAAAGTTTTTTTTAAGGCAGAAGAATAAAGGAAGCTTTTACTGCATAGAAAAAGGACTGGTAGAATATTTTATTCATTGCCATCGCCTAGTGAATGAATAAGCAAGAAGAGTACAGTCTGTCAACTATCCAGCCAATCATACTGTAACGACAGAAGACAAGGGCCAGGCAACAGATTGTTTATTGAGACAATCAACAGATATTTATAGATTTTTATGTACATTATTATCCGTTATTATTAGCAGAGAAACAGCGTCTTCTGATTGGTTGTTCTCTCGTTGAAAGTTAATCTGCCATCACTATATAGCCATTTCTTTTGAAGGTCAGACCGTATATCTGCTGACCTTATCCGCCCACGCTAAGTCCACTGTGATTGGTTGTTGAGTTCCTTAAATTTAGTCTTTGTTCTTGTTCTGTTCTCATGACCACAATTTGGGACGTAAACATTGACGTTAATTGGTGTCTACAATTTCGTCTTGCAGACGGGTCTCACCACAATACACACTTCGATAGATTAAAAAGACGTATATTTCAGTCAGACAATCGCATCACTCGCCAATGGACAAATAATTCGCATATATATTAAATTAAGTTTAAGACATTAATGTCCATTGAAATTCTAAATCTCTACTCATTCTGTTTAGTAAATAATGAAGAGAGTAGACATTCTTGACTGTTGCCGAATATCAACTGACTCCCGGATGGATTTAATTATTATTAGCCAACTGAAGAAATATTTGAAATAATACACCACAGAATATCTAGTCTTCCATAATAATCTACTCTTAATAAGCTATGGGCAATATATAAGTCATCAGGTGATTGGTTAACCTGTTGTAGATTCCCTGTAGTTCCGAAAGGAGCGTAGGCCTTCAACAGCAAATCTCCATTTAATTCATTGTTGACGATAATGAAAGTGTCGTCGACGTATCTCTTATAGATTTCGAAGGTATCAATCATTTTCTTCAGGCATGTGTTTTCAAATTTCGCCATGAAGAAATCTGCAAGCAATGGACCTAATGGTGAGCCCATAACTATACCATCCTTTTGGAGATATATTTCGTTGTTGAAAGAGAATTGAACATTCAGGGTACACTTCAGTAGGAGTTCTTTAAGACGCTTGGTGAGTATACCGATGTTTACTCCTTTGGAGTGAATAAGTTCGCATATATAGCATATTGTTTATGTCAGTGGAACGTTTGCGAATAGTGATGTGACATCTAATGAAATCATTGTATTGTTGGATACGTTGATGTTTTTGAACTGTGTGGCAGGACACTTGTCTTCTGATTGTTTCTAGTAAGTCTGCTAACCACTGAACTGTGCGGTGATAAGGCGAATTGGTCATGTCCAGGATCGGTCGAAGAGGGATTCGCCTCTTGTGTACTTTCGGAAGTCCGTAAAGTCGTGGTATATTTGAGCCGGATGGTCTTAGGGATTCGAACGTATCGTTACTGATGAAAGATTCAGTCTTTTGCTTATGGAGCATGTCCGTTAGCTTTGGTTCGGTCTGTTCAGTCATGTTTTTCTCGTTGATCGGTTTTGTGAATTTGCATTCATCAGATAGTGTAGTCAGCATTTTACTTATATAGTCCTTGCGATTCATGATTACAATTCCTCCTCCTCTCCATTTAATCCTATTCCCTGAAGTTCTCTTTGGCTGTCTTCATGACTCCACCTAAGCTTTCATCTCCTCCTCACACGATCTCCACAGTATCACTCTCAGGTCCACGCCCAACTGTTCAGCCTGGCGCTCAATGTTACTCAGCGATCTCCTCAATGTGTGCCCAGCTCGTCTCCCCTGCCTTAAGCACATTTATCGGGCTATAGGTTCTTGATTGGTTCATTCTCAGAGTTCCTTCTTCCTGGTTCCTCCTCCCAATCTGATATTCAGTATGAAGCGAAGACAGCTGCTGATGAAAGTCTCAAGTCTTTTTGGAAATCCTTTTAGTGACGCATCAAGTGTTTAAACCATACAGAAGCAGATAGTGACTCGACATTATTGTTCAAAATCTGAATCACGTTCCTTATGTTTAGTGTATTAGAAGTTCAGACTGATTTCAGGTCCTTGGTTCGAACCCCGGTTGGTGAGTACTGTGAAGAGTCCCAAATCAGGACGAAACAGCTGTCCAGTACTCCCAGGTATTCCAGTGGTTCTCTAACTGATGTCAGCTCATGATGAAATCCTCCATGTGATCAATATATGTTTCGTTTTTCCAATTCTGGTTGACTTTAACATCACCTGTACCACTTGTATTTGAAGCCATGCTGCCTAAATAAGTCAAAGTGTTAAACCGCTTCACATTTCTTCGGTTGATTGTGTCTGGTGCTTGTTGTTGTTGTTGTCTTTGGCCAGTGGATATACCCGTCAGCAGTGTCTTTTCTGTTCTCGCTTGAATTCCTATCTTGGCTGTTCACCTCTTCTGCCAGCTTGTTTATTTTCACCTTTAGATCTTCTAACGTCTTCTTAGCGGTTTAACATATTCCTGTTTTCTCGTTATCCATAGTATGCGGTATGATCCAGTTTACCACTATCAAGAATATCTTCAACGATAATTCATTCATTGATAAGTAGCGGTCCTAACATTCATCATGATGGATTTAACCGGCCACACTTACACTGCTAAAATCACAGGAAAACCATCGCAAATCTAGTGTGCGAATATCGTCCATTGAGGATGAAACGATAAACCATCCATCACTTTTTATGCCACTGGTTTTCCCCTGGTGACTACGTGATCCATTGTGATGGGCTTGAAACCTGATGATATATTGGCTTCACATTCATATATATCTAACTTTTAGATGTTGAAATCAACATGCTAAATAAGCCGGTAGCTTTAAGACAATATAATTTACCTAATGTGAATTGGTTCCACCTTTTGTATTGCATCACAAACGTACCAACTGGTTGAAATTATTATTCCAGTCTTCCCACTGATTGGTTTCATTAGATCGGAATGCTTATTCGTTGTTAGCATGTTCACTGGTAGAACGGATGCTTGGGCTACGACTTAAGGTCAAAATGATATTGATTAGTTGATGGTTCAGTTCATGAAAAAAACACTCTTCGTCCTGTTCCATACTTTTCGGATGGTGTACCTGTACTAACAATGAATGATGGAACCCGAAATTCTCCATTATTCACTAGGCCTATCAATATTATTCCCTTAGGCCCTGAGCGGAGTATAATGCCTCAGAAGCACATCTCCATTTCACACTATTATGTACAATCATATTTAACTAGCTTCAAAGTTGTTTATAGACTTTTATCTTCTCATGAGATCTTTTTCATATCACCTATAGTCGCTTACTTGCTGTTTCCCATTCAGCTTCCACCCAACAATCTAGTGCATGGTGTCACCCGTCGATCTTCTCGGTGTGTATTCGACCCACCTCCACTTTCTTCAACATATATATTGAGCGGTAGGTTCTTGGTTGGTTGGCTCTCTGAGTTCCACTTTTATTATGCTATCTGCCTGACTATCTGATCTTCGGCGCGGAGCGAAGTCAGGTGTTGATAAAATTCTTAAGTCTGTTCAGAATGTTTTTGGTGACATGCTGTCTGTTGACCTGATAGAAGAACTAACCGATATTACTCACTAGGCGAATGAGCCACAAAATCCGAGTCTCTTACATTAGACATCTCTTGTTCTTAATCGGAATGTTTTTCAAATTTTTATTGTTTGATTTCCTCCTCAAGTGGAACCCGAAAGAGAAGCTACGGGTCGGTCATCCAAGGGTGAATTGGAGGAGGTCATGTGAAGAGGAGATGAAAGCATGTAGGCAGACAAGGAGCCAGGTGAAAACTTTAGCGGAGAACTGACCGCAATAGAGAAGTGCAGCTGAATCCCTATGTTCCTCTAGGAATTTAAGGAAATAAAAATAACTGTCTGATTTCATCGAACTGAAATTCTCTGTCTCTAGTACAGAAGCTTTGCTACTTGAACTGGTGATTTCTTGGTTTCAGTTTCATTGAGAATACGTCACTCAGTGTGGGTGGATGTATGCCTAGCTGACGAGTTTCAAATCGAATATTTTAATATTATTAGGACTAACGATTCATGTCAGTGGATCAGTATACAAGCAACTCCGTTTCATATCGGTTTAACTCCCGCTTCAACAAGATTTATCCCCTTGAAAGAATAAAAACCGATACTGGTTACCACCCAGTTATTCCCTATTAGTTTGTTTATCAGATATATCACACAATGAAGCAGTATTATTTACTGGATGACACAGTTTTGAACAAAATTTATTGCCGTTCATTAACATATCAATTACAATCACAAAACTTCAACACTTGAGTTTTATAGCTTTCTTTGTTCCCTCCCATTCGCCGTCGTAGGTGTGGTAACAGAATTTTCCAGATATTTGGGTGGACAGGTGTTGAATCATTCCTGTTACACACGTTTTTTCAGTTGATTCGATGAACAAAGCTTCTGTTATCAATCTCTCCCTCCACCCTGTGACATTAGATTTTGAAAATGTCGTCTTATCCCATCTCATCTTATGCTGCATGGTTGTGTGTAATTGGATGTAGTGAGTGCTATCTACGGCTGAACTATTCTCCAGATTTCTTATCTTATTCGGGTGAACCAATCTAGATTTTGCTAGGTTTTTATGTTCAGCTGGTCTAGCAAAATTAGCTAGAAAAATCTAGATTGGTTCACCCGAATAAGATAAGAAATCTAGAGAATAGTTCAGCTATAGCACTACATGCGGTTACGCACAACCATACAATAGGATGGGATAGGATGACAGTTTTAAAATCCAATGTCACAGGGTGGAGGGAGAGATTGATAACAGAAGCTTTGTTTATCGAATCAACTACAAATACATGTAATAGGAATGATTCAGCACCTGTCCACCCAGATATCTGGAAAATTCTACTACCCCTACGATGACAAACAGAGGAGAATAAAGAAAACTATCAAACTGAAGTTTCGAAGTCGTGTGATTATAGCTGATATGATTA